CAAAATAAAAGAAATTCTGTTTATTAAGCTTGATCCTAAATTAACAGAAACACAGCAGAACGCTTCTAGCCTAACTAACTAAAGGTCAGTTTCCTTGCATAGGCTGGTGGAGTTCATTCACCATCCCAAATAGAATTTCCTCTCCTTTACCAAGAGGGCCACCAGAGTACTTCCTTAGTGCCAACAGCTACAGACTCCAGGTAGCTCCCTATCTTTGTATTTCTTAAGTTGATTTTAGGATTTCTACAAGCTGTGAAATTCCTGGTTTAAGGAAAAGCAAACAATTTCTCATGAAGAAAGTTATCAATTTTAACTTCTAATAGTGTAAAAACAACAATAACCCCCCCAAAAAAACAAGATACCGTCAAGAGATTTTTTTTATGTTGCTTATTTATAAAGTGAAGAACAGTTTGATGGTTGTTACTAATTATCTCAAGAAAGCAGTCAATTCTTGTATGCATTCCTTGGCCCTCACATCTGTGAAATGTTACAATGGGCTAAGGCTTTGACTATTTTTGGCCAAATCCACATGCAACTTATATATAAATACTTAGTATTTTTCTTTAAAACACATCATGTCCACAGGTTTAATGTTAAATACACATGTAGGTTGTTTCTTCTCCTAAGATGCTTGAAAATAAGTATCTTACTCTTAAAACAAAGAATTTGTATACCACAAGGGTTCATGTACTACTTTCTGGAAAACAGGGTGCTAAGGAATGGTCAATGGAAAACTTAGCTGTAAAAGAGAACTATGTAATTTTTAGGGGACCAATTAACTCACCTGTGATGATCTTTTGTTTTTCAATGGTACCTGTTTTAAGGAAGTGATCCTCTTAACTAAGAAGCCTAATAAGTTGGGAATTGAAGTCTAAAATTTATTTAGTCTCTTTCAATTCCTAATCAAGAATACCTGATTATCTTAATTTACCAAGCTCTAAACACAATTCCTGCATTCTGGCTGTGGCTAGGGTCTTTAAATTCACCAGTCCACACCAATTAGAAGAGCAAAAGGTTATTTACTAGATTCTGAACAAAATGCCTAGCACCCAATTGTTATCTTTTTCATAATCAAGGGGAACAGGTTATTCTAATACTTAAGTTTGAACCTTATAATATATATGAGTTTTCTGTATCATTTAGTCAAATTAGTTAATCTCTTTCAGTTTCACCTGTAAAATGGGGATGTTATTATCTCTGCTTCACAGTGTTGTTAAGAGAATGTAGTTAATACACATTAGGAGCTATCTACTGCTAATTATCATTATATGAACATAGTTCCTCACTAGTGTTGTTGTTAGGTGCCATAGAGTTGTCTCCGACTCATAGCGACCCTATGTACAGCAGAATGAAACACTGTTGGTCCTATGCCAGCCCCACGATCCTTGCTACACCTGAGCCCATCATTGTTGCCACTGTGTCAATCCATGTGGTTGAGGGTCTTCCCCTTTTCGTTGACCCCCCACTTTACCTCACTGATAAACAAAAACTCAACTCATTGCCACAGAGTCGGATCCGACTTATAGCGATCCCTCCTTGGGTTTCTGCTATCACTATAGAAGTGGATTGCCCAATCTTCCTCCTGAGGAGTGGCTGGTGGGTTTGAACCACCAGCCTTCTGGTTAGCAGTCAAATGCCCTAGGCACCTCACTATTAAAAAAAAAAAAAAAAAAAAAAACCCTCATTTTTATGATGTTGGTAGTCTATATCCTAGAAAACAGTTAAACACAGTGTTGAGAGCATTACTTGAAGTATATTCTGCAAAACCATCTTCTCCCAGTTCTCGAATCATCCGCTGTTTCCACCTCTCCAAATAGAAGATCTGTTCTGATGTCATGGTCTGTTGTAGCACTCGTGTCACACTTGGTATCATACTCCTTTTCAAAGGGATTTTCAAAGGAATTGAAAAGTCACTTGACGTATTTGATTTTACTCTTTTCTCTGGATTGAAGAGAGGAAACCAGTTTCGTGGAGCCCTTGTTTCATCATCTTGCTTTGGGGGCTTACACTTACTCACAGGTCCATAAAGAGAAGCATCTTCCTCAAACAGTGATTCTGGGGTCTGAGCATGGTTTCTGAATGACAAGACAGACTGTACTAAATCAGAATATTTTTCTTGGTCTACTTTTTCATAAGCATTCACTTTTTTCTTCCAGCCACATGAATAAGAAGTGGAGAAACTAACACAGTGGACTGGTTCTACACAGAACCCCTTTGAACTTCTGAGCTGCCTGCAAACCGTCTGAAAAGCCTTCATTTTTTTTAAATTTTCACTTCCCTCTAGTTTATTTGCAGTGTGGAGTGCCTTTTCTCCTTTTCATTCCTATTGAAGACAAAAGCAGTGTTAGGTACCAGGCATGTTAAGTATTAGAACCATCAAGCAAAAGCTGTATCAGAGTACTGCACATTAAAATTGTATTCAATAAACTTTTTCCACAGTTTGGAATGAGCCATTTCCTGAGACTCGGATGAATACTAGAAAGATCAAAGCAAAACCAAGCTTACTGATCTGGAGTCAATTCAGATTCACAGCGACCCAACAAGACAAAGCAGAACTGCCCCACAGGGTTTCCAAGGCAGTAAATCTCAGAAGCTGACGGCCATCTTTCTCCCACACAGCTGCTGGTGGGTTGCCAACTTTCCAATTAGCACTCTAGCACTTCAGCCACTGCGCCACCAGGACTCTTCTTCAGAAGGACCATGCCCACTGCCACCGACTGGATTCTGACTCATAGCGACCTCTATTGGGTTTCCAAGGCTGTATATCTTTATGATAGTAGAGTGCCTCATCTTTCTCCCCGGGAGCAGCTGGGGAGTTTGAACTACCGACCTTCTGGTTAGCAAACGCCTTACCCACTACCACACCAGAGCTGCTTTTCAGAAGGACCAGAGCTTACAAAATGAGAATTAGCAAACTTCCTCAATCTTGATTCCAAGAACTGTGAGCCAGTGTGTGTGTAACCAAAAAAAATCCAAAAGTCGAGTTCGTGATACAACGGCTACAACCCAATTAGTTAACAGTTAACGATTGATCCCTAAATACCGGGTTCTGTGCTAAATATTCTGGATAGATTTTTCTCATTTAATCCTCATACGTTCGAAGGTGGTTAACATTAAGATTTCGTCTTACAGCGGGTAAGCGGCAACTAGCAGGGCCCACAGTCTTGATTCCCAGAGGGGGTCTCCCGTACCGCTTGTAGATGTGGACCACCGCGGGGAAGTAGGCCTGTGGTCACACTAGGGGGCATCGGGATTAAAGAACGAGTTAAATAGAAGCCTAGCCCGCGAGAAAGGGGTCCATACCACAGAAGTCACAATGCTGCAAGCAGGTGAACAACGCTTCGCTTAACTGCTTCTAACCAACATGTTCTCCGGAATCGTATTTTCATCTGTCCCGCGCTTCTGTCTTACTACCAGCCAGAGGCGTGGGGGCCCCATTATGCACTGCGCACCGCCCCCAGTCTCTATTTCACCAGAAGGTTGGCGGTCCAAACCCACCAGCCACTCCTCGGAAGGAAGATAGGGCAATCTACTTCCGTAGTGATACTGCCTCGGAAACCCAAGGAGTGGTCGCTACGAGTCGGGTCCCACTGAGGGCACATTACGACAACAACAACAGACACTCAAACAGCAATGAGTTTGTTTTTTTCCTTTTGTACACTCAGGAGACGGTGGAGAGGCCCTCTCAGGCAGAAGCGCGGGCGCTTCCAAATCGCGCCAGTTTGCTCTCACGAGATCTTTACGTCACTGCTCGTCGCCATCTTGGACTCGGGCTAACTGATAAATCCGCCCCCGCACTACGGCAAGGTCTTTCTTGCGACGCTCGTTGCTGGGAGCGTATTTGTGACTTCGTCTTCCCGGCGCTGTCCAGTGGTCAGAGGTGTTTACGCGGTGCGGAGCGAGGGTAGGCCCCGCATTGTTTTTATGCCCGGCTCTAAGATGGACGACAGTGGGTACCGGGGAGGCCGCTCTGGGGGAGCACGTGGCGCGCTGTTTTGCTGCTCCTGGGGCTGCTGGGATGGTGGCGGAGTCCAGCGGCCTCCCATCAGGCAGGGAGGCCAGCGGAGGCGGGGCCGTGGCCGCCTCTGAGAAGTGACCCGCCGGGGGCGGCGGCCCATCTTCTTTCCTCGCACAGCCAAGCCGCCCCTGCTCGAGACCCGCGTCGCCATGGCCGCGGTTCCCGAGTTGCTGCAGCAGCAGGAGGAGGACCGCAGCAAGGTGAGGCCCTCTTGGTGCTCAGGCTATAGGCATTGGCCCCACGGACGTCCCGCGCCGTGTCTTTTCCACCTACCAGACTCCCACACTTTTTACTCGATCCGTTACACACGTCCCTGGCGGTTTGTGGACCTTCCTAAGCGGGATGCCGCCGGCCGATTATCCAGCGGAAGGGGAACCGAAATCACGGGTCTTAGTCATATCCACCCCTGTGTCCTGTACCATGTGCGGAATGGCCAGAAACTCGATGAGTTTCTGGGGCTGGTCTCTAGAGACCTGGAGACATGTTTTTATAGTAAACGTTTTTAAGTCTTTCAGTGGCTTCGTAGTGCCTTGACAGCGGTGAACGTGAAAGCCTTTTAACATTGAACAAACGACAGGGTTTGGTTTTGCTTCCGAGCTGGCCCCCTTTGAGAAACTGCTCTTTTTTTTTTGGTCCCCAGAAGGGAAATTCCATCAAGGCAGATCTGAAGCATGCTCGTTAACAACTTTATAAACGTTAAATGCGGTGCAGTTGGAGTTGTAATTTTTAGTCAGTACTATTTACTTGTCGCACTTTTAAAAAAATACTTTGTATTTGAGTAAATTATTCTCAACCATGCCCACTGCCGTTGAGTCAGTCCGACTCAGCGACCCTGCAGGCAGGACGGCCATGTCTTTAACCTATCGAGCGGCTGATGAGTTAGAAATGCCGACCTTTAGGTCAGCAGCCGAGCACTTTAATTATCCTATGCTCCGTAAATTTTGAGGTCTAAAAGTCAATTCGATAAACTCGGACTACCAGAGCCAATTCTGTTTTTTTAGAAGTTAACCTTTGAATGGTGAAACTTTTTCATCTGACACACAAATAATCAAGAAGGGTGTTACTGTTGTATTGAAATGAACCTTTGTATTCCCAAGGGAAGAGTAGTGTCTTGTTTGGGATATTTTATTTCTTTAAAAGTTGAAAGAAATTCTTTTTTTTTTTTTTTAAATAAAAATAAAGCGGAAAGTGGGAGCCTGATACTAGTATCTAGAGCATTCGAAAAGTAGTTTTCTACCTAAAATGTAGGTTTTGTATAGGAATTTTGATAGCAACTTTTTCTTTACTGGTACCTCCTCCTTTTTAGGTTTCTAGGTCCAGAATCTGTTTTTAGGAAGCTGTTTTAAAGGACTTGATTGCCTCAAGCTGCCTCCTTAGTTGTTTATTGTAAATGATGACCATTCTGGTTTTTAAAATGACTCCTCACCATATTCCCCAGCAAAATCTGAGGACGGTTATGAAGGTATTTCCTGCCTCCTGCTTGAAATGACTGCAGTTACTTTGTCCATACCCTTAGTAGAGAAAATTATATGGAATCATTATTTTTTAACATAGCTAAAATATATGATCTTAACATGTGCTTTCATTTTGCTTTATGAAAAAAATGAAAGCACAGGCTCGTCCTGTGCATTATATTTTAACGCAAATCTTAAGTGATTTCCGTCCTTCAAAATGGAGCTCATAGCAAGTATGAAATAGTAGCAGGCTAAGTCATGGGCAAACTTTTCTATAGCCTTGGTACAGCTTTATAGTTACTGAAATACTTTTACATGCTTACTTACAGATATTTAAGTTTTTTAATTTGCTTTGGTTTGGAATTTTCAGGAGGATAGTTTATGAGTTCTCCCATCTCCAGGGGTTAAGAACCACATAAAATAGGGAATATAATTGATTCTGTAGGATGTTGAAAATCTAGCACAGTGCTTTGGGGTTGGGGATTTAGCTAAGCAAAACTGAAGAGTTTTGGGTTGTGTCTGGTACCCTGACACTCCCGTTTTGTAACATTGAAGTGAAGCTGTTGGAATTTGTCGCCTAAAAAAACACACACACACACACACACACACACAGTTCAGGGAAGAATTGTATGATTAATTTGGTTTTTAACTTCCTCTACTAATGGGGAGGATTATATTTTGATCTTTAAATTTAGAGAAAAGGGAATTGTACCAAGCCTAGCCTCTGAAAACAAGTTTAAAGTCCCGTCTACGCTAACACCGTTGGATGTTATAGTGTATAAGAAAATATCCCCTTACCCCCCAATACTGACTGGTTAGAGTTCTCATATGCCAGGGGGATTTTGACAGGTTAGGAAGAAATTCAAGATTATGCAGAACCTTGTTCCCGTAGAAACTACCCTTGCCTCCAGTCATCTTACACCTTTAAGGTTCCCATTTTCAGATTGAATGTGTATTCTAGGGTCTTTCTCAGAAGACTGCTTACTAGTAGTCTAGCAAATGTATGAAAGGCATTAAGAGTCCTGACTGCCTCCTGGGCTGGGACCTCCCTTTGTGAATTCACTGAAGTTAAAATGAGCCACATAGAAAGTAAAAAGCTGTGCAAGGATGCTGAACCCTGTTGTATATCTCAACATTTGCAAGGACTAGGTGATAATCTTTCTTAGCCTAAGTGGTATTTTTAACTGGAGGCTCTTCTTACAGTTATAACTTGACCTTAACTTTAATAAGTTGGTTACATTGGCTTTGGGTAGATGATATTTCAGACCCAGTCATTAATGCTAATAAACTCAAGAGGGTGGGTTTTTGGGGGGAGGTGGGGGAGTATGAAAACTGGCTTCAGCAGTTAGGATGGAGGAGTGCCCTGCAATTTGTATTAAGTGTAGGCACAATCCTGAACTTGTACCAATACTGCAGGTCCAAATTTGCTAAACTTAATGGGTTGATTTCTTTTTTACATGTAAAGTATGACTTCAAAGCTGCTAAACCTTCTTTCTGGATCAGTAACTTGTACACAGTACCTTAAGTTCCTTTTTTGTGAATACTGCTTTAGATGCTTACATTTTTTGTCTGTAGGAAAAATTGGGCAAGAAGGGTATATTACAGAATTTTCTAGTAAGACTTTTTAAATTCTTACTTGGTAAGGCCAAGTAAGTGACTAACATTGCTTTAGTTTAAACCAGGGTTTTTCTCAACCTGAACACTATTGACATTTTGGTTTACTGTCCTTTGCAGTGTAGGATGTTTAGCAGCAACCTTGGTCTCTACCCAATTGGTGATAGTAGC